CGCTGCGGGACACGCAGGGAGCGGGCAGCTCTGGGTTCACGGGTGTCCGTTTCCCACGAGACCCCGGGGCGGTGCTGCGCAATCAGAGGGACGGGAGGCTGCGCGTTTCTGTCTCTCCCTTTCGTTTTGCGCTATGTCCCGAGTCCTTCTAGCGTAGCTCCTCACTTGTTCTCCAGGTTCATCAGTGTCAAGACTGCAAGGAAGAGCAGAACTTGTTACGTTTCCTGCTAGTGAAATTGTGGTGATTTCCAGCAGCACAGGTTAGACTAGCTGCGCAGCAGAGCAAAGTCCTGTAAGATAAGAGCCAGTCCTGCTGTGCCCAGGATGGTTGCAGCACGCAGCGGGTCTTGGTCTGCACACTTCGCTCAGCTCTGCAGTGACCTGGTCACTGCATGGGGCTGGACAAGCACGAGGTGGGAGGCAGAAAGCGGAGCTGACCAGACTCCACAGACCGGCAGCTCAGGTTAAATGGTGTGTTGCTGAAATGTGTGGAGCTACGCAGGAAAGACCACAGGACAAGGGATTCACCTGGGTGCACAAAGGAGCTGGGCAGCTGGCAAACAGAATTCGGTAGAGGTCAGCCCACACCTAGGCTGGAGCTGTGCAAGGTGTGCAAGAGCGTGGTGCACATGTGGACAGTGGTGGGGCTGGATGGAGGGAGCAGCACTGGGCTCCTGTAGGACCCTGCGCTACAGGAGACTGCTGCCGGGGCGGCCATGCAGCCTCGGTCTGGCAGGAGGGAGCGCACACTAACCAGCAGACTTCTGCAGCTTCTTGCGATCCTCCAGGTTATATTGCAACTGCTCCAGCAGCTCCAAGTAACGGAAGAGAGAATCACGAGGCCAGACTACTTGTACATCTTCATTTTCATCAATCAGTCCCTGCAGGTTCTCGTGGATATATGTCTCCCAGTCCACTGATGGAGGCAAGGCCTCAGTATCAGGGCTTGCAGAAGCCCTGTTCCCCTCTCCGTAAGAACAGCCCCCTACTTTGTCCTGCTTCGGCCTTCTTTCAGCCCTTTGCGAGTGGTGCAGACCCTCCCCCTCCCGTTACTCGAGGAAGAATGTGGGCTGTCTCTCTGGTCTCCCTCAGGTCTCCTGCCCAGGTTCAAGGTGTGGGGGCAGCAAGACTCACAGTCCTTGGGCAGGAAGCCCTTCGTGACTTGCTCTGCTGGCAGCTTGAGTTCAGAGCTCTTGGACACAGAGGGGGCTTTTTTGCCCTGCTCTGCCTCTAGGTCCTGTAACCTGCTACAGAAAGGAAACCCACAGGTGAGCGCTGGCCCTGGTGGACCTCTAGCCATGTTCCTCCACCACCTGGCTTCTGTATTTGGATCTGAGCTATGACAAACCTAGCCTATCTGGCAAATCTGCTCTGTTTCTGAAGTGGGGAAGGGGAAGAGCATTATCAGACATGGCTGGCACAGGGCTGGCTCTTTCTCCTGTTCCTGGGGACAATCACACAGGGAGGAGCCCTGGTCCCTACTGTTCCTGTACAGGTCCAGGATGTCCACACTCACCTGGCAGAGCCTCTGGGTGAGCTCTTGAGGCCTGTGCAGGACTGGCTGTGTCTCCTGCAGAGCAAAAGGGAGGAGAGCACCACTAGGCAAAGATCTTCCTTGTGCTGCAGCATCCACGTGCTGTGGGAAGCGTTTTTTGGCAGGAGATATGATGGGATGTTCTCATCTCTACCTCTCTCTAATTTGCATTTTAAATAAATCCACTTGTTTCTGGGTTTCTATCTGCTGCACTTCTTCGATCTGCTCGCTCCGGATGGTTTGGAAATTACTCACTGGGAAGTAAAGTGATGAGTGCTGAGTAGAGGGTCTTGGCAACACGGAGGGAAGGGAACTTGGATTTGTGGACTTTCCCTAGGCTGCTCTGCCCGTGAGGAGTCCGCTTGGAAGGGGCTGTGTGCTGTGCCCATTGCCTACATTGCTACTGTGTACCCCAGAGAACTTGCCGGGGGGGAGGGGGGAGCTCCCCAGCTCCTACAAAGGGAGAGAAACCACAGCTGGGCACTGGTCTCCAGGCTCTCTCTCTGTGAGAGATCCCAGGTTGAAGTGAACAAGGGAGTCAGGCATGGTACCCTGCTCCTCTTTTAATACTCTTTTGTTGGTCCCTTGTCCCATTGGAACTAGCAGTGCTCGCTGTAGGAAAGGGCAGCACCCACCTCCCCTGTCCAAAGTCAGGTGCTGCTGGTGTTTAGAAAAAAAAGCACTTTGTGAGCTGTTTGGGGGGCCCTGCAGAAGGAGGTTGACGGCTGGGCCTGGCCCAGTGCTCACCCATGATGGCTACAATGATGTTCTTGAAGAGGAAGGACCCGATCAGCAGCCAGAGGATGATGTAGGTCCCGCTGATGAACTTGTTCATATTGGGGATCTTCCAGGTGTCCTGGAGCAGGTCATACCAGTGGTCCATGGTGAAGAGGATGAAGACAGTCACCACTGCATTGGAAAAGCTGCTGCAGACAGAGAACGGCTCTGTCAGGTGTGGTCTCTGTGTTCTCCTGCCCATCAGCTGTGTGAGCTGGGGCAGGGTGAAGCACATTCCTGAAGAGCCTGGCTGCCATCCCGGTCCACGTGCAGTGTGCCCTGCCTTGTGCGCCCCGCTGCCCTGCTGCCTAGCTGCTCTGGACTTCGCCCAGCCTGGGTGCAGGAGAGTCTGTGTGGGTATTTTAGGATACAAGTGTTATGTGCTTCTGGATGGGGTGCTGGGCGTGGCAGGGCTCTATCGGACCATCAGAGATCTCATGGGGGCTAGAACCTATCCTTGTGGTGGAAGCCAGAGCACAAGATGGCAGTGGAAGTTGTGGGGTTTTCCCCTCAGTCATAAAGTACTGGTTTCCCTCCCCAGCATCACACTGCCCTGCACCCACTGGCATCCCACATACATGTGGCAGCTCTAATCAGCACTTTGGGCAGCCTGAGCTGCAGCAGCAGCCCTGTCTCCCTATACACACTGCTAGAGCATGGATCGGGCTGGGGAGGAGATGGCCGAGATGTGCGGCACTAGGATGGTGCCAGTGCCTGGTATCAATATCGCATGTTGGAGAGAGCAGCTACAGGAGCCCAGGGCAGCAGGCAGAGAAGATGTTGCGAGGTGGAGGCTGGGCACTGAGCCTGCACGACAGAGGCACTTTACCTGAAGTAGTCCTTGTAGTTTCGATCTGCATAGTGCGAGTGAGTGTAGTTCTCAAAGAAGAAGACACCAGAGACAGCAAACACGTAGAAGAAAACGAGCAGGAACAGGAGGATGTAGGTCATGGCCTGGGTTGGGGTAGAGGCAAGGCTGTCAGGACAGGCAGTGTTGGCACTTAGCAGGGAAGGGCAGAACATCGGGGTGCTGCTGCACTGGGGGACGGTGGCTGTTCCTGGGTGCCAGGAGTCAGCCCGGAGCATTTGGGCTCTGGGGAGTACTCGGGCAGGGGCAGGAAGAGGGTTGCAGTGGGTGAAGGCAGGTGTTGGCTGTGCGGTAGGGTACAGGTGTGACATGCTCTGCTGGGAAACGAGCTGCAGTAGATATGTGGCACAGCAGTGGCTTTCCCACTGCCATTGTATCCCAGGCCCACCTTCAAGGCCTTTGCTATGGCCATGATGATCCGCCGGACCTGCTGGAACCTGCAGAACAGCTTTAAGGAGCGGAGGATGCGGAAGACACGGCGGACTCTCTTGGAGACAGACTCTTCTGCGATGTGGAAGAGGTACAAGAACTCGGGGATGAGTGACTGCAGCCAGGAAACAGCGTGGAGGTCTCAAACCTGATAGCCAGGCCAAGGTAGCCCTCTGCCCCCACGGCCACCCCATGCTGCAGCAGTCCAGCCATCTTCCCACACTATTGGGGAGCTGGCAGCCCCAGCTTGTGACGAAAGCCCCTGGCCCAGATGACGGAGGAAGGAGGGTCTGCACCGGCAGTCCAGAAACCATGAGTCAGACCCAGAAGGATAAGACATCAGCTCCATGAGTGTCCAGGCTGTCTAGTTTTGGCCTGGGGTAGCCCCATTTTCCAACCTCCAATTTTTTGCACCAGTGGAAGCAGACCTCTTGTAAACTGGTGGCTCCAGAGGCAGGTGCTGGGGAGGGCTCAGACAGCTGGAGAGCTGGCAGAGCGGCACTGAGCCGAGCCAGGCAGGAGAGCGTGGCATGGGTCTGAGCAGCCCGGAGCGTGCAGCAGGAACATCGCTGGCAGGAGCAGCCAGAGCCTATCTGTGGGATTTCCAGGGCAGCGAAGGACCCCCACCCCACCCCACGTTGTGCCCTAGCTCTAGGGTAGGCAGCTGATGCCACCTCCAGGGACTCACGGTGCTGCTCTGGGGCTCGCCCAGGGGCTCTTACCACAAAGGTGATAGTGAAGTCGAAGATGTTCCACCCACTCTTCCAATAGCCCCTGAAGCTGACCAGCCAGTTCAGTGCAATATCAATGATGAAAATGATAGCAATGACCCAGACTGCTACCTCCAGGGCAGTGGTTATGGTGTGGCTCATGCTGGTCCTCTTCATCAGCTCTGGGGAGCATAGGGGACAGTTGTTGACGCTCAGCTCTCAGCAAGGGGAGACAGCTATATAGGGTGAAGGCAGGAGAGAGGCTGCTGAAAGGGGAAACAATGGTGGGATAGAAATGCTGTGCTGAATGATGTCCCAAAAAGTCCAGCCGAGCTGCCAGCCTGGCTGTGATGGGAGGGAGTGCTCAGAAGCTGAGCTTTGAGGGCAAGGCCTGGCGGGATGGCCCAGTTTGAGGCATAGGTCCTCAGAAGGGTGAGATGGGATGCAGCAGGATAGGAGGTTGATGCACAGCCAGGGAAGCTGGGTATCTGAAATTAACCATTGATAAAATTTGGCCACTAGCGCTGGCTCTTGTGGGCAAGTCTTGCAAAACCACCAGCTACAGAGCATCCCTTCGCAGCAGCCCTAAGCCTACTGCCATGGTGTAGCATGAAATGCAGCCAAGCCTGCTGTGCGGGGAGGGCTCAGCCTGGGGAGATCCAGGCCTGGAGCCCG